CTATGCAAATTATAGCAGTTGCTAAAGACTTCTCAACTTAAGAGAAAACTAAAAAATAAAGTAAGGCTGTGTTAAATAATTTGAGCCCTGGATTAGTCTTATTTTATACACTAAAAAAAACTACGTGGGAAGAGGTGATACATTTTCTTTCAAGAGGAAAAAGTCTCTGGAAAAAAAAAAAATATCCCATAGGTTTATATGTGGACTCTTAAAAGATAAAACAGCTTCACAAAAGGCAAAGGATTAACAATCTGTTAGCTTTGAATCCTATCTCGATCTGTCTCTTGCTCACTAGAGGCTCGGCAGCACTGAATCATGGTGACTGATCCTATTACCTATGGAGTGAAGGAGACTAGAAGAGGCTATGGGGCCAGGATCTCACTGGGTGAGTATTTCTTCTGTCTCACAATTGTCCTACTCTGACCTCGGCATTCCAAGTGGTCCTTCATTATTCTGCCTTTTCTGCTGAGGCTCTGTTTACTTCAAGACCAAATCAACTCATAACTTGGTTTCATTCCCGATCAAACCAGCAACCCAGTTCACTACCATTGAAACTCAGTATTCCCATTCTTGTGACCCTTTACCTGTGGCTTAAATATTTACTATAGCCAAACCCTCCTGCTTAGAAAGTCACCTAGGTCTTATATTCAGTATAGACACTTTCCAAATAAGTATCTATATCCCAAGTCCCTTTGGATACACAGAAGCCTTCTTTGACTTCTATATCTAAAATAGTCCCTCCACCCCCCAGTCAATTACCTCTCCCCCAGACATGTTCCATACAGTTGTTCTATTTACTGTATACATAGAACTTAACACTACATGAAATTATTTACTTACAAGTTTGTTATGCTCCCAATACAAAATGGATGAAATACCAATTTGTATGGTTACAGCTTTCACTCCAACATCCGTATCTTTACATTCCTATCATAATTGACACTGAAGCTGTTGTCACACCTAAAATGTGTCTTTTGATGTGCCGTATATCTGGTCATTAGCTTCCTTTAGGTATCAGCCATCAAGGTATAAATTATTTTAAGAATATAACTTCACAGTGTCAATAAGGAAGGACTACACGCGCATGTGCGCACACACACGCACACACACACACGCCATCTCTCCTATGTATTTAATATACATTAGTGCCCATTGTTTTGGATTTATGATATCAGTATGTTTTCATATTATTATGTGGCTGCTATATAAGTATTCTATTGACCTTGGATCTAGTAAATGGAGAAATGAGCAAAATAAGCATAATTAAGAGGACAAAATTAAGGAATGGTTAATTGAAAGGTGTTTTTTATATCTTAGTCAAGATTAGCCTGCTCTGTGTATTTTCCACAATGGTTTCAAAAGAAATGCACCCAGAGTTTAAGAAATGATCTCTCTTCTTAAGTGCTAACTTTTTAAAAATGAAAAAAATTATTAAACTGTAAGAAAATCTATGCTCTCTTCGATTTTTCATTATTATCTCTTTGTGGAAATAAAAAGGGTATCAACACACTTAAATGAAATGATGATAAAAACATGGATGCAGAGTTGCATTTGTAAGGGCGAGTTAATATAATTTAGATTCAGTAAACCACGAGAAGAATAGTTGGTAATGGTCTTGAGATACTCATTTTTTTTCAGCAAACGCTGATTTTGTGCTCTCAAGACATTTTTAACCAATTAGCTTGCTCAATTGACTAAGCATCTCCTACCTCATTTACTTGAATAAAGATGTAAAGAGGAACTTCAGCAAGATATAGTGATTTTATAATGGCATACAGACAAGGCAGAAACAATCCTCAGTGGAAAATAACTTATAAAAAGCAATATGACACCTAGCAAAATTAGTGCAGTTATTTTCCCAATTTAAAAGCAAGGCCATTGGAATCTTTAATCTATTTGAATACTTTGGCAAAGAATCAGAAGTAAAATACCAAAAATTTTGTTGAAAAAATAGATGGAAAAAAAAGCTTCCTACTTTATTTCAATTTTTTAAAGAATATTTTTGTATTAAGATCCCTTGCTTTTTTATTAAACAAATATACATTCTTAAATAATGATAAAAATATTTAGGAAATGATTATTCTCTCATTAATTATGAAATTAACAGGTTAGGAGGTGACGTCTTAAAGTATTTGTGGAATTATAAAAAACTAAAAAAAAATCAAAAATATACAGTAAAACCTATATGAATTTAAATGTAATGTCCTTGAAAGAGTAGTTAATTTTTTTCTTTCTTCCTTTCTTTTTTAATAGTACAATTGAAGATTTTAATGTGCTCAGAAGCATAACAAATAGTTTGGGGAATATATCTTTCAGGATCAACAACACAATTTCCTGAAGACTTTCAATAACCTTGTTTACTTGTAAGGCATTTTTTTGTCACATGATAAGATCAAATTATCTGTTAAGAATTCTTGTGTGTCTTTTAAAAAAGTATGAAAAAAGAAAATTGAAGTTTTTTAATGGGAAGAATATTAATTTGAATACTCACAGCTGATCATCTCTTAGATCTCTGATTCAAAGCCAGAAATATAGGTGATGACAGCATTACTAAGGAATTTGACCAGGCTTTCAAAACAAAAATATATACCTAGGTATTTGAACAAGACAGATAACTTTATTTGAAATAGAAGATACATATTTGGCCCAGGCACCCTGTCTCTTGAAAGGTGGTTTCCATGTTTGACTAACAGCCTCTCCTACAATTGTCTCTGCCTCCTTCGGATTTCACATTGTTCTCCAGGATGAAAATAAGAAAGATTTATATGTGTCAATAAATACATTAAGTTAGGGGTGCCTGGGTAGCCCAGTCAGTTAAATTTCCAGCATCAGCTCAGGTCATGATCTTGTAGTTCGTGGGTTCAAGCCGTACACTGGGCTCTGAGCTGACACTGAAGAGCCTGCTTGGGATTCTCTCTCTCACCTTTTCTCTCTCTGCTCCTCCTCCACTTCTGAGCACTTGTCTGTGCGCACACTCTCTCTCAAAATAAATAAATAAACTTAAAAAAAGTAATAGCCTCCACATTACTTCTAAAAAAATAAACACACTAAGTTATTCTAACAAATCTTAACTCTTTGAAATCCTACTAAAAAAAGTAAAAAAAAAAAAAATAAATTTCTTTTTTTAAAATGAAAGATGAATAGACAAAACCTCAAGTAGCAAAAGTTACAGTGAGTCAAGAGGTACCCAGAGTTCTTTTGCTACTCAACTTCTTTTCTGAAACAAGTTCTTTCTATATCTGACACCATCTGAGAATTCTCTAGAAAAAAATAAGTATAGTATTTTTGGTTTTACCACAGAAGTTTCTTGAGTTTTCACATTTGTTTCTTAATACCTGGGAAAATTAAAAAAAAAAAAAAAAAAAAACCCTAGAATCCTTAACTTACAGCACATTTTAGCTACATTTATAACAAAAATAAAATGTTTAAAAAATAAATTATACCAAAATCCAGAACATTGACAACACTAAATGCTTGTGAGAAACACTCACAATAGAAACACTCAGACTTTGCTGGTGGGAATGCACAATAGTACAGCCACTTTGAGAGACATTTTGGCAATTTCTTATAAAACTAAACATACTTTTGCCACATAACAATATGCTTCCTCATATTTACCCAAAGGTGGTGAAAACTTATGTCTACACAAAAACTTGCATACAGCTTTATTCATAATTGTCAAAACTCGGAAGTAACCAAGTTACCCTTAGTAGGTGGGTGGGCATATGACCTGTGGTATATCCAAATACTGGAAAAATATTCAGTGATAAAAAAAAAATGAGCCATCAAGCCATGAAAAGACCTAGAGGAAACTTAAATGCATATTACTAAGTGAAAGAAGCTAATATGAAAGGGTGGCATACTGCATGATTCCAACTACACGACATTCTGGAAAAGATAAAACTAGGGAGACAGTAAAAAATATCAGCTGTTGCCAAAGGTTAAGGGAGAGAGGATGAATAGACTGAGCACATAGGATTTTTAGGGGAATGAGGATATTATATATGATACTTTAATGATAGATATATGTCATTATATATTATCCAAACTCATAGAATATACAACACCAGGAATGAACCCAAATGTAAACTATGGGCTTAGAGTGATAATGATTTATCAACATAAGTTCAACAACTGTAACAAATGTATCACTCTTGCAGGGGATATTAAAAATGGGGAGGCTATACATTTATGGGTTCAGAGAATATATAGAAAAATCTCTGTACTTTTTGTTCAGTTTTGCTGTGAACCTAAAAATGCTTTAAAAATAAATTCTATTAAAGAGAAAAAACAAACGAAATTTTAAAAATTACATACAATTTTTATGTTAGTAAATTACATTTCAAAATGTAATATTTTGAGAAAAGGATATAAATTTGAAACCTATTTCATTGTATAATGAAAATGTATAATCCTGGATTAAGTGAGACTTCAAGCCACTAAAAAACTACTGGAGATAATCAATGTATATATTTCAATTTGTCCGTAACTTTATAAAACATGTATATTAATATTTAAAGGTTTGCCTATCTGGTCTCTGTATATGAAATTGAATACATGTATGTATGATTCTATAAAACCTCATTACAAATAAAATATAAAGATATCAGTGAGCTTTCAAAATACTTCAGAACCATAAACTCAGATTATTTACCCATAAACTAGGGAAAGTAACACGATATGGAATTAATTCTTTTCCCTCAGCTTTATTGCTTTTTAAACTAAAGTACAACAAAAACAAAGCTGTATTAGTTTCACGTGTAGAATATAATTCAACAGTTTCATAGCATTTCTCAGTGTCCATCATAAGTGTACTTTTAATCTTTACCTACCTCCAAGTAACACCTTCAAGAATGAATTTTTATAGAAAAATGTTTATAAAAGTTTGTAAATTATATAATAATAAGCAATGATATAGTGATATAAGCAACCTAAGGTTGCATACTGTATATATAAACTATTATTATATTTATCAGTATAAGTAAGATGGAATTCCTTACCAAGGATGAATTCCAACTGTGGTTCATTTGGAGTCTTCTGAATACCTATCAAAAATGGGTAAAAAATCAGATTAAAGATATTTAAGTCAATATCAAAGATATGTCAATACATGCTACTGTGCTTCACCCTACCCAGGATATATAAATATATTATTTGGAAGAATGAACTAACCCAGTTAATTGTCCAGACTTACATGCCATCAGTTCTCAGGGCAGAACATAATATTTGTAGCAGAACTAAATGTAACTAAAGACTTGACTGATCTCCTTACTTCTAAGGCTCCAAAGAAACTCAAAAATACTGGTTTTTGTAAGCTTTGCAAATTTAAAACATATTTTTCCATTTTTAGTTTCTTTTAGATGAGTGTAAACAGAGGCAAAGCCTTCAAAAAATATGACCTCACCAAATTACTCTCCTATATAGATTTTTCTTTCAAACCATTCCAGCCTGCTGTGAAAAGTGAATTATTAATGAAAGAGGTATCTCTAGTAAGGTTGTCAAGGACATTATGGTGGTGGTTATCCTGCCAACTAATAGATAGCTCAAATCAATGTTCTGATAAATGTTTCTGTTCCTTTTTTCATAATTTTTAAGAAATCTAATAACATGGCTTAGACTGAAGCGGAGAGAATGTCTGAGAACAAATAAAGAGATGGGAACTTGTAATGGTTAGAAGGTAGCGAGATCAGACTGTGCTAAGTGATAATGTGGTAAAATGTGATAACATGGGTATTCTATGACCACCTGCAGCTCAGGGTCTTCCTACACAAGAGTGGATGAGGACTTGGATACCACTTATTACAACTCATGGGTGGCCAAGGAAGAAAAACTAAAATTAGTGAAAAAGTAAACTACTTGGTAATAAATGTAAAAATATTACAAAAATCATTTTCTTATATATTTCTACTGGTGCATTTACCAAATACAATTTAAATTTACTAATATTGGGTCACTAAATATTGTTAGAACCATTTCTTTGTATAAAAGCTATTTGCTTTTTTATTTACAGGGTTAACTTTTGTTTGTTTGTTTGTTTTTGCATAGTAGGCATTTATTTTTTCTCCTGTTGACATTTCACAAAATATGGTTAAAAGTATCAGACTTTTAAGAGAGATGAGACTGGTAATCATTAAGTAGATCTCTATTCATTTCAAATAATGTAGATTTAAAAAAATTTTTTTAAAGATTATTAATAACTGCTGTAAGCTCTGACAACCAAATTTCTTAGAAAACATATCCAACCAATACCATTTTCTATAGGTTATTTTGTTTTTTAATGTTTATTATTCATTTTTGAGAGAGATCACATGTGCATGCACATGCATCAGTGCGGGAAGAGCAGAGAAAGAGAAGGAGAGAGAGAACCCCAAGCAGGCTCCACTCTGTCAGCACTGAGCCCAATGTGGAGATCAAACTTAGGAACCTTGAGATCATGATCTGAGCCCAAAATCAAGAGTCAGATGCCTCACTTACTGAGCCACCCAGGCTATCCTTTAAAGATTATTTTTATAGTGTAAATTAAATGCTCTCATTTAATTTAGCAGATATTTGAAAGTAATAAATAAATGGCCAACAGGAATCTTTTGAAAAGAAAAGACACAATCCATGCTAAACAATAAAACCTAAACTCTAGGATTTGAAGCATGATAGAAAACATACAATTCTTCCAATGATTTTAATTACTTGAGTAGCACAGAAAAACAATTCTACTGTCAAAATGTAAATCTTGGCCAAATCTCCATGCTTGCTCTATTTATGTGACTTAGTGATGCTCTAGAGGATAGCAGTGACAATCTACCTGTCTAGGGTAACAATTATGTCCTAATGCTTTCAACTTAAATGCCTTTGATTTTAAAGAGAAAATTTCTATGGAACATTTCTATGTTGTGGGGAACACACAAACTTACTTGTGAACTGGAAGTCCCCAGTATCATTTGCCTGGGGTGTGGGAAGAAAGTGCTGGCCTTCTTCTGATGCTCCTTCCTCTTTGATTTCCATGATTAACGTTCACGGTTGTTTAATCTTCTAAATTTTCACGTCCAAATGTCACTGCCAGTGATTCCTGGTTTAATATAGATGTATCTTCACACTAAAAGCCTGATATCCACTGAAACTCTGTATTTAGGAAACAGCAACAGTAAAAATCTTAGTTATTTCAGAGTTTAGTATAAAGCTAAGAACTAAAGGTAGGTCAAAACGACAACTTCCTACCTATCTCACCGTTATTTTCAAGATCTATCCACCTAATTTATGCATCATAAACTCTAGGTTAAATGGATATTCTCTATGCAATCATTTTATGATCGTAAGAGGGACTTCTAAATTCTGAAAGGTATATTCTTCTCTTCTAGGTCATTCTGTAACACAGTAGGTAGCAATAGAGGCTGTGGCTAACTAAATATGCATCTAATTTAGCAGCAAGAGCAGATAAAATCTTGTCAAGGTATTAGCATGTTTTGCCAAGGTGAAGGTTACTATTATTCCTTCCATCAGATCTACCCTTTATGCTCATCTCTCCATCCACCCTTGTTAGAACATTACTCATGAGGACATAAAGATAATTTGGCATGACGCTCTTCTTCCAATATGAGCCAACAAGTAGTACAGGGAGTTTCCAACCTGATCATTACCTATAGTCTTACTTCTCTGCCTGATAAAGTTTTAATTGGTTAATGATCAGGCTCTATGGTAAAAATAATGAATAATAATTCTAAAAGGCTAAAGGTCTAGGGGAAATTAAAGTAACAGCAAAATCATGAAAATCAGCATGGTGGAAAGAAAGTCTCTTCAAGAATTTAATACCCGGTTATGCAGACAGCCTCAAATAGCTTCAAATTCATTCTGATATTCAGCCTGATATATATGACCAAGAATGAATTAGAAAAAAAAAAATCAATGTTGTTTTAAGTCAAGTTACCACCTGAATTAAAACGTATAAAAAGTCTTTAAATGTCTGCCCACTGTTGTTTAAAGAGATAGTGGCAATCAAGTTTGGTTTAGAATAATGATTTGGTCTCCAACTTCACAAATCCATAGCTTTAGTCTTTGTTATTTTAACAAAGGAGCTTCATTTGTAATTCAGCTCTGGTTTTTAAAGATCATCTGGTAAAAATTAAATTCCAAAAGCATCTTGGATCTTTAGAAAATATTATAATAAAGTTGCAGATAAATATGCATTTCCTCCTCAGGATAAACCAGGAATGAAGGCCAGGGTAAAGGGCCATTGCTCTATCAATTAATTAGACCAAATTCTTCAACTTAAAAACAATATTTTGAATTAAGATAATGTTTTCTATTTTTTTAACTATTTAATTTAGATGTCTATTCTGATAAGAACAGACACCTATTCATTGAACCACATTCTATCAAGAACCTATGACAATTTCATTTGCATGATTGGGGTAGTATCTGTGAAAAGACTACCATGCATGTGGGACTTAGATACAAGAACTTTGTTAACTTCACTATACTTCTTCACAAAAAACTCAACCTCTAATCTTGAAAAGTTATCTTACAAATTGAAAAGGAGACCTCAATAAGGCAATGTAGATAAATACTAACAAACTAACAACTTGGCACACTAACAGTGAATACTTAAGAAAATAACTGTCAACCCTGAGTGAGGGTGAGTGTGTACTTTTGGATAAGTGGAGAGGACTAAAGATGCCTACAAACATTACTAATATGGTCCCATTTTAGGCATATCATCCATTCAAAACTGAAAAATAAATTCAATTTCACAGAGGATAAAGCCAAATACATAAGACAAGGATCATATAACAACTTCTTATGATTCTATACATTTCATTTGAGAACAAATTTCAGATTTGATATCTGTTAACAAGGTATTTCCTCAGAAGGTATCAGTTATATTAATAGAAAAGCTCTAAAAAACCACTGCATTTTCTAGGTGGTAAATACAGCATTTACCTATGGTTATGGTTAAATACAGTAGTTCCTTTTCTGTGCCGATTGGAAATTTTTTGGTGTAGAGAGCACGCACAAGAATAGCTTTAAATTTTTACACACGCAGATAGATTTTAAAAAGTCAGCTAGAGATACTAAATCTAATTCTCAAAGCAGAAAGATGCCACATTAAATGTATCTATTTTAAGAGAGTGACATAATTATATCTGATTTTTAGGAAGTTTACTGGGTGTCAAAGTAAAGAATGGACTAGAAATTGGCAACTTAACAAAGAAACTGACTTGCTTGGAGGTTACTTTAATATTCGAGGAAAATAAAATCATAAAGAGGATCTAAGTCAAAATAGAAGCAGATGACTAGAGAAGAGAATCTGGATTCCAAAAAAAATTATTAAATAGGGTAAAGGACCATTTATTAAATGAAGTTATCTAGCCTTAATGATGGAATTAGCTGCAATTTAGAACTGACACAATGAAAGACAGGAATTTCAGGTGAAAGTCAGTAAATTATGGACCACTAAACTATCTGGAGTATAAAGAAGGAAGGATTTTAGTCAAGGATGACGAGTTCAGCTTTAACCATGTTGTTTTTGAAATGTCTTCAAATATTCAGAAAACATTTGAACACATGGGCCTCAATTTCAGGAGAGATATTAAGGCTGGAAAAGTATGTTTTTGTAAACCATTGGCTAAGGGTGAAGTCAAAGTCAAATGAAGTCATTGAAAGTAAGTGCATGTAGTGAAAAAAAAGATGACTGAAGACTGAACCCTAAGGCACAAAACCATTCAGGGGAGCAGGAGGAGGAGTCAGCTGGTAAAGGCAGGAGCCGTGATAGGAGGAGGAGCAGCGAAGAACAACTGAGGGAACAATGTCATCACTCTACTTAATGGGTGTTTCTCAAATAAACAAGGTCGGGAAGTTAAAGGATGACTTTACACGGCTGAGTAGCTCCCAGCCCTTCCCTACAAGAGAGCTTGTTTGAGAAACTGAGGTTAGCCTGCAGTGGCACCCTCCCCTCCTGCCCGGGCAAGGGAGCTAAGAGCCTCTTCTGATGACAAGGCCTGGAAGCTTCGCAGACCTGTGATACTCAAGCTGAGAGTCAGGCAGGCAGAG